CCCCCTCCCCCCGCCACCCCTATGTGTTTTTGTCCAAATTCTATACTTGTCACTTAAAAAAATTCATTTGAATATATGTAAAAATTATTAATTTAAAATCCGTTAATTAAAAAAGATTAGAATTCAAACTCATAAGTTTCAAATCCTGATTTAGCCTGTTGTTTAGACATTTTTGAACTAACACCATAGATATTAATTATTGTTATAACTTGTTAATATTAGGCTGGTAGGAAAAAGTATGTTATCCAATTGGTAGTTTACAAAGGCTTCAAAGACCTTGTAATGTGGGATACGTTATGAGAAGAATTGGTGTGAAATTTCGGATGGAAGTAACTCCGTTTAAACAATACTTAAAGCCTTTGATAGTACTTGACACTTGGCATGTGTATGTGTAGGATTGCGCCCACCTGTCAATGTATGATAAAAATAATATTATTCTCTTTTCAATTCTATTTTTTGTAAACAATTAACGGACATAGCCTGTCTGAACAAGTATTATTTTCAAAATAAACATGATTATTTAAATAGGTTTTTGTTAAGGTCTATCACGCTCTTGCATGTTGATGGGCAAACCCACTCCTGTTGTAATGGTGTGAGGCGTCAGAATGCAAAGTTGATGGGCAAACCCTCTCCTATTGTAATGGTGTTGGGTGATAGAGGTTGTTACCCATGGCCAACTCGAATTAGCTGAAGTTTGAGACAGCTTTTAGTTGTTAAGTTATAGCAGGATTGAATCCAATCCTTCATTTTCACAATAGACATAATTAATTATTTGCATATACGCAATTCAAACATTTAAACCTCCTGCCCGTAGCCTTATATATGTGCAGTTTTATAGGTTTTCAAGTACTCCCTCCAATTCAATTTATATTAGATAGTTTGAGTCGGCACCAAATTTAAGAGAAAAAAGAAAACTTTTGAAACTTAGGTTTCTAAAAGCTTAAGTGGTAAAAGCTTAATGGGTCAAGACTTATTTAGTTATAAAAGTTTCTCATTAAGGATAAAATGGATAAAATAAAAAGTTTAAAATTATATTATTTTCAAATATAAAAATATGTGCTTTTTGGGGGAGAGATAATAATTCACCAATCGAGTCATAAGTATCTAAAATATTCATACAGTGACGGCTAGAGGGTAATGAAGCAATAGCTTTAGGCCCGGAAATTTCTAGGGCCCCATTTTTTAGATTAATAATAGGTTAATACTAAAGTAATATTTCCAAAATACATTTGAATATTTATGGTAAAAAGGTATAAGATTTTTCTAAAAAAGAATAGAGATTATTATTTAGCCAATGTGACTTATGATGACTAATACTTAATTTGCACTCTCATATTAATATTCTTCTTCTTTTTCTTTTTCAAAATAAAACTTGTGTTTTATATTCTCTTTTTCCCCTCTTACTAAGGTGTCTATTCTCTAAAAAGATAAGGGATGAAAGTTGGTAAAAGTTTACCTACACTGAATGTTTATATCGGGCCAATGAATGTAAGATATATCTCTTGCACACATATTTTTTTTTACAATTAACCATAGTTGAATGATATACATTTTTACTTTGATTTGTTGATTCTTAAGGTTAATTATTTAGTTAGGTACAAACTCCCAGTCGATGAGTTTTTATCGATAGAAGACATGAATAAATTAAAATTGCTTCATTTTCATTTTTTAAAGCATTGCAGCAACAATGAAATTTATCCTATATCAAGTTATTGACTTCTAGAATCAAGTTCTAGTGTTCTAACATACTATTTGTTTTTCATTTAAATTTGAAGTTTATTATTTTTAAGTTTAAGGCCTCTCAAAAGAGTTTGGCTTTAGGTCTCTAATGTTCTTGAGCCGCCTCTGCATTCATACCTAACAATTTTTCACAAAGTGGTGAGCAAACTTATAACTTTGTACAAATCTTTCTATTTTCCGAATCGATCCGATCCATTCGTTTGTAAAGGTATTTACTCAATCGCAGACATTTTTGGAATTTCTTAAAATAGACTAATAAAGAAAATGTGTCATATAAATTGAAACCGATGAAATATTATATTTCTCTCCCCTTTTAATATATAATTTCTCACCAAATTATTTATTCCTAAAATTAAGAAGTTTGAAGGAACTTCTTTGGGAAATGCTGCATGTAGATTTTGGAGGCTTTGTTGTATCTTTATTGCCAATTCCCAACAACAATAGATCATAACGAGGACAATTAATACTTTGAGGGCTCCTTTGGTACAATGGATAAGGGATAATTAATTTCGAAATTAAATTTGAGATAAATTTATATCACATTTGGTTGGGATAAAATTACGGTATAACTAATCTCATGATTAGTTATCTCTATGGGAGAGTGAGATAACAATCTCAATATAATTAATCCCGAAATAATTAATTCTGGCATAACTATCCCAGCCAAACGACCCCCGAAAAGAGTAGGTAAAACTTACTTTAAGGTAAGTATTCTAATCGCCTTAAGCGGTCGTTTGGTAGGAGGTAATAGAAAAAATAATGCAAGCATTAGCTCTATGCATTACTAATACCCTGTTTGGTATATTTTTTTAACATATATATAATTAATACTTGTATTAGTTATATATCATACTTGGTATTATCCTATGTATAAGTAATGCATAGAAAACCATGACATTAGTAATACCAAGGCTATTAATGCTTGCATTAGTATGATTAAAGACAAAATTATTTTTAAAGTCTCTTAAAGCTTGAGAATATGGAGGGCATTTTTGTAAACAACTATTTTTCTTAAAAATTATGCAATGCATTATAATTTTAATACACCACACCAAGCAGTAGATAATAAATAATATCTGTATAACTAATGCGCATTACTAACCCATGCATTACTAATACACCTTATTCCGCACTATTCTTATACACCCTACCAAACGATCCCTAAAAATCTATATAATACCCACTGAGCTAAAAAATATTTTGGTCCATTACGTTTCCTCCTAGGTTAGGAGGTTAGATCTGTTTAGATTTTTTTTACATACATTGTCATAAGATGATGAGAAATTACATCAGCTTTTCTGGTCTTCTGTTTGAAGTGTTTGTTAGTTTCTTTCTGCACCTTGATAATGATGATGATCTCAAGGGATGTTATGCTGTTTGGATTTTCCCACCTAATGAAAATCATCAGACTTTGCCCGCAAGCTTTTCTGCTGGTGCTCTCCTCATCAAAAGGAAAAAGGCAAGAACAAGAGCTCGCCACATCTTTTTCAGTTTTCGTTATCCTTAATTAGAACAAAGTTAAAGAACAAATCTCGCCCAATGTTAAGGTAGCACCGAGGAATAATGGAGATTGTAATGGAGTAGATACCGAAGGAAAATATTTTAACTATAAATTTATGAATAATCCTTGCAATTTTTTATTTCCTTCACAGATCTCCACACAATCAAATAAGCTACTTGTTTACCCGTAGAACGGTACAGTTGAATTTGTTCCTGATTTCTAGACAAGTCAATTAATTTGATCCAATAAGTAACGAAATAACTGATGAAATATAAAATACTTAGCCTTAGAATGTAGATGAAACGACAAAGCTGATGAGTCCGGAAATTGGGTTCTCGGGCACAAAAATGATAAGATCAAAAGCGATGAGAATAAAATTATATTAAAATATTGTATAGAATGTAGTATAAGTTAGCCAGAAAATTCCTCCCATTACAATGATAATTGAGCTCTCTATTTATAGCTATGTCTAGGGAAAGAAATTCTAGGATCATGCCCTTCTTTAATGCCAATTATGAGGGCCATTGATGAAGACGTAACGCTAGACATAAATGCTAAATTTCTTGTAACGTGCCATCACCCTTAATGCTGCAAAATATTTTGTATTAAACGTTACTGGACGCAAAGCATTTAGTACTCCTTTTATGATCTTTATTCCTTCCAGTGACAAGCGGAATACCTATGTTCGGTGGCCATCTCCATCTTGTGTTCCACGTGTACTTCCTTTAAGCGGTAACTTTAAGCCTTGAAATATATGTAAAGACTCAAAGAAAAGAGTGAAATGTCTCGAGTTCTATACTCAAGTGTTGTTGGGAAATTGAGGTACACTATGATGTGTACCTAAATATTTGTTATGCCATAGGTCTGGCAGAAGGTATCAATCTAATTTTGGAAGAGATCATTAAAAGAATGATGAGAATTTTCCGATACCCAAAGAGAATTGTAGGTTATTTATTATGTTATAGTGAAAATGATATACTCTTTAGAAAGTATATACATGTGAGAGACATTAGGGCAAGTAAAGAAATAACATTACAATACATACCTACACAAAAATAATAGTTGATCTTTTTACAAAAGCAATATCTAGAGACATATTTGAGAAACATGTTCTGGCTCTAGGTTTGCGAAAGATATGTTGGTATTTGTGTATTGCAAAATATTTTTGTAACGACACGACCGGTCATTTTGAATATTTACACTTCGCTCGGTTGTTTGAGGGCATGAGTAGCTCCGTATGATGTACTTTGACTTGTGTGAAT